TTGAAGAACAAAGGCATTTAAAATAACTTAAATTTTCATATCTCCTCTGAATCTGTGACTTGTTCAAGATGAAATATTCAGACAAATATCCTCAATAAATATTAATGAACAGAGTAATTCCCTCCTCCCTCTCTCCAAGTTCCCAGCAGCTCCTTCTGTCTCTTTTTTGGACGTTGTGGGTCAGAGCAATGTCATGGAAAGGGATTTTTTGGTGCCAGGATGGATTTTCCAGGCGTGTGACATTGTAGGAGCCTCCAAGGCTCTGGCACGCCTCCCTTCCTGCATCCCAAACCTAAACATCCCAAACTGAGCAGGGGGAAGTGCCTCTCAGCTGTGCACATCATCCCCCAGCTGTCAGAGGAGTAAACAATTCCTGCTTTCCGATGATTTCAATATGGGCAGGGCAAGCCCTGGATGAGCTTTGGGGAATCAAAGCCTGAGGGCTCAAGGAGGAATTCCAGAGGTGCTTCAGCTTTTCCTCTGCTCCCTCCGTGTTTAGAGCAGCAGATTTTGCTGTCATGTGCTCTTGGTTTAATCAAAAAGATTCCAAATGGATGATCCTGCTGAGAAAAAATGAATTTTGGGAGCCAAAGCCCCCAAAAATCAACCCCTTCTCCTCTCTGAGCAGGCAGGAGCCTGTTTCTTGTAGAATCCATCATGTTCCTGTCAATTTAAAAGGATTCTGTCCATCACTTTAATATCAATTCCCCACCCTGGTGCTTTTCTTTAAGTTTTAATAATTGGAGTGATTTGGAAAATGAAGGAGCAGTGACCCAAATCTGCTTGGATTCTGTATTTAATATAAATAGATTTGTATTTCATATATGTGGCTATTGGATTCTGTGCTGTGCTTTCCCTAATCTTTCCAAATGCACCAAATCCAGCAGGAATTTCTGGGCCACCTCAGCCTAACTCTGTCAAGTCCATGAAAATACTGATTTACCTTAGAATTTTCCAAGGAAATCTGTGATTCCTGGAGAATGGGAAGCAGCAGAAACTCAGAGTGTGCAAATGAAACTCCTGCCAGGGAGTTTGATTTTTAGGAGCTGGTTCTGAATGTGGGATGAGGATGGAATATTTCATGTCTGTTTTGATCTTTTCCTCCTCAATTTGTTCTTAATTTGATTTCTTTACAGTTTCATCTTCTGTGGGGATTTTTTTGTCTTTTGTTCCTTGACTTCTGACCTTCCAGGAAGAGAGGATTACTTCCTCAGGAACATGGTTTTCCTGGGATTTTCTTAGTTTATAATTAATTCTGGTTTTTAGGAAACCCCAACCCTTTCTCTCCTTATTTTGTACAGCAGATCTTCCAAAAATATGTGAGTGTTGAATCATTTCAGACACCACCTCTGTGTTTTTACCAAATAAAATATTTTTTCCTTTGCATTTTTGAGCTTGTTTTGCTTTGTATTCCCAAGCTTTTTTCCCCCCTTTGCACTTCCTAGTTTTGATTTCCTTTAAAAACCACAGAAAGATTTATTTCAGACCTGCTTGTGTTGCTCTTTTTAATTTTAATTGAACTCCCCCAGATCTCTCCCTGTGTCTCTGAGCCATGCTGCACCTGTTGCCTTTCAAAGCTGACTTGAATTTTCCTGATTTTTGCCTTCTTCCTGAGCTTTTCCTAGCTAAGATTGGAATGTTGATCCTTGATTTCCCCTGTGGCTCTCTGAATCCTCTTTGCAGCCCTTTTTGTCTCCCAAGCTGCAGCCAGGATCTCTCTGTCTGTATAAATCACCCAAACTCCTGCATTTTATGAAATCACTGAATTATTTTTAAGTCTCTGGTGTGTTTTTCATGGAAAGCTTCCTTCAGGAAATGCGATTCCTCCCCCCAAAAAAGCAAACTTTGGGTTTTATTGTTTTAAAATAAGGACTTTGTCTTTTGAGGCACCATTCATGAAAAGATCACTAAAAACACACTCAGCCAGTCTTAAATCATCGAAATCCTGTACTTTACTCTTCTTTTATGGGCATCTATCTTCCAAATCACTGTCTTTTGGTCCAAGTGCTGATTTATATTCCTGCCTGGATTTTTTTCTGTGTTGTTCTGTGGCTCGTGGATGCTGTGCTGTGTAAAATGTCAGCGTTTGATACAGCTTTTGACAGTAAATGATTCAAAAAAAGGTCAAACCCTTCTCCCTGGAGCATTCCTGCCTTTTCTCTCCTATGGATTTCCCCAAGTGAGAGGTCTCATTTCCAATATCATGCTTTTCTGAGCGGGCTGGGTGTGGGACATGCTGAAATGAGGCAGCTGGGAGCTCTCCTGCCTGGAATCATTTGGATAGGGAACAGTCAGCACGCTCCACTTCTCTGCTGTTGTGTGCACATGGTTGTGGGATTTCTCTCTTTCTGCAGGTAAATCATGTTTTTAATGCCACTGGCAACTTTTTATCTGCTTAAAAACTCCTCCAGTGCCTTTAGGTTGAGATTTTTCTTGGTAGGAAATGTCTTGCTAAGGACCTGATTGTAAAACAACATTTTAGATTGTGACAGCGATTGCACAGATTTTACATCTGAAATTCATTTTGGTTTTTTATCAATTAGCTTTGTGCTTTAGGGTTAATTTTTCAGTCCTGTTTTCCACATGACCATGTCTGCAGTTGTAAAAATCTCTGCAAACAGCACTGCTTGTCTGGAGCAGCTTGACACCCTGACAGCAACTGGGAATTTCATGAATTAAGGGAAAGAAATGAGGATGCCTGGCTAGGAAAATCTGTCCCTGATGGTTTAGGGCTCTGTAGCCTAAAATTCTCCTGTCTGCCCCTGTCCTGGTGAGGCTGTTGTCTCTTTTCCATGGTTTACCCTGGAGCTGTTCTCTGCTTTTGCTGACACCCATGGAAAGGAACCTTTCACAATAGCAAATTGGAATTTCATCCCATTTTCCTCCTTTCGCAGTTTGGAGACACCACACAGGGCTGTAAACTTCTCTGGGTTCTTGCTGTCACTTAAAAGTGAGAAATCTTGGGGACTTTAAAGCACTTTTGAAGTAGATTTTGGGGTCCAGTGTTTTCTTCTTGTGTGTTCTCACCTTTATTTCAAATTTCTTCTACCAAAAAACCCCCAAAAAACAAAACAAAAAAAAAACCCAAAAAACTAAAGCATTGAAAAAAAATATTTTAAAAAAATGATGCCACGAGAGATCCAGTTCTCCACTTGGCTTTGCTAGAGCCTGCAGATTTCAGGCTTTGAGGAGTCTGGGCTCATTTGTAATTCAGAGGAAACTATGGAGCTTTTAGTTTGTGCAAACCTGGAATTTTGTGGCTCCAGGCTTCAAATCATTTGTCTTGCAGGAGCAGCCCATATCCTGTTCTTTAGGTTCTATATACAACAGCTTAAGCAAGTCCTTCACAGGATTAGGAGCCCGTCTGAGAGGAAGATGGAAAGCCCAGTAAGTGGAAAAGTGGAAGAGATTATATTACTTTGCAGGGTAGGAAAAGGAAAATTAGAATTTTAGAGATTCTTGAAGCTTTGTCCTGTAGAGTAAAAGCATCTCTGGCAGCCTTGGCTTGTTCAGTGTTGCACCTCTGAATTCTGAAGTACTGAGGAGTATTAAAATATTAAATGTTCAGAGATTTCTGATTGAATTTAGTGAGTTTTGATGAGAGAATCCTGAGATAGTTTGGGTGGGAAGGACCTAAAGTTCATTTAATTCCAGCCCTGCCATGGGCAGAGACACCTTCCCCTGTCCAGGGTGCTCCAGCCTGGCCTTGGACACTCCCGGGGATCCCTCCGTCCTCACAGGGAAAAATTCCTTCCCAATATCCCACCTAACTCTTTTCTTTATCAGTTTAAAGCCATTCCCCTTGTCCTGTCCATATAAAAATCCATCTCCCTCTTTTCTAGATGGGCAAATAATGGATTTTCAAGAGGTTTTTTTTTTCATTCTGCAGCTGTGGGGGCTTGGAGTTTTTTGCTCTCGAGTGTTGGTGCTTTAGGAAAATCCAAACCCCTCAGAAGCTCCAATGAAATGGTGAAAGTGTGGAATAATTCAAGCTGACAGTGCACAACATTCCCAGTTAAATTCCCAGTTTTAAAGCCACTCCTCGCCGTGTTTATGGAACACTTTGGCAACTTAGCACCAGGGGCTGCAAAGTTCATCCTGAGGCTCTTAAAGTGCCTGAATTCTGGGAGCAGCTGTGAGAGGATTCTCATTTTGGGTTGTTTTTACTGGATTCGGATCAATTTTGAACTGAGCTTTAAAAGAGTCGGGGTTTTTTTTCTTTATATGGAGTTTGCTGCAGTTTCCTTCTTCATCAGGAGGCAGTTTTGTACAGTCAGACTTCTTGTGGGGTACTGTCAGTGAGGAATAATCCGTGCTGGATCCTCCTCTTGGTTTGGCACAGCTTGGGTGTAACAGCAGCTCCCACACACCCCAGTGCAGGTGATAAAATTCCATGCACTGCTGGCACTTTTACATCCAGACCTGTGCAGGTGAACCATTACTGGCTTTTGGGAATAAGTTTTATTGAACTCCTGTCATTCTCAGCTTTGGGGCTCTTTGCACAGGTGCAGAGCCTGGTCTGTGGGACCGCATGTGTCCTCTGTGTTTTCTGGAAAATACAGGTTTATGTTGATTATTGTTGTCAGATTAAGCCCTTTTCTGACCCAGAGATGGGGCAACTGAGAGGTGTTTTTAAAACTTTTATTCCATTTGCAGTCTCATGAGAAGGGCGGGACAATACAGATGTTATAATTCACACCATCACAATTATTTCCTAATTACAATATATTATGAGTGTATCTTGGCCTATCAGCTTTTGTCACACCATGCTATAGATGCCTTAAAGACAATCATCTGAAATTACCCCTCATGGTCCACTCCAATGCATCTTTCATAGTTTTATTTCTCCAAAATATCCAGTCTATTTTGCAAGGCCATCTGTTGAAACATTTTTCTAGTTCCATTTCTCTCTCAACAATGACGACTGTCCTATTCCATGGTTTTTCTATGGTATATTTGACTGTATTTCTACAATTATCTCTTTTCTTCCATCATTCCAGGCCACCTGTTTTACAAATTTGGCATCACAGAGTCAGACTGGTACCGCATCAAGCAGAGCATCGACTCCAAGTGCAGGACAGCCTGGAGAAGGAAGCAGCGAGGGCAGAGCCTGGCTGTGAAAAGCTTCTCCAGGAGAACCCCCTCATCCTCCTCCTACAGTGGTTCAGGTACAAACCAAACCTTCCCCCTAAATCACAAATCCCTCTTGGGTTTCTGAGGTGCCTGAATTTTAATTTGGCTGCCTGGCTTTGCTGAGGTGCTGAGAATGTGGAATTCTGGAATGGTTTGGGTGGAAGGGACCTTAAAGATCATCTAATTCCACCCCTGCCATGGGCAGGGACACCTTCCACTGGCCCAGGTTATTCCAGCCTGGCCTTGGCCACTTCCAGGCATCCAGGGGCAGCCACAGCTTCTCTGGGAACCTTCCCCCACTCACAGGGAACAATTCCCTCCCAAAATCCCACCTAACCTTGCTTTCTGTCCACCCCCATGAATTCAGCTCCTGCAGTTTTGTGCTGTGTTTTTGGATTTTTACCACGCTCAGTTCTTTGAGGAGAAAGTCCAAATATCCTTCCTAAGAGGAATCAAGTGACTAAATCCTTCCCAGTGTGTTCACACCATTCAGTGGGACGTGCTAAATGCTGTTCCTGAAGTGTTTTCCTCCGCAGACATGAAATGTGCTGTAGGTGATTCCATATTTCCATCTAGGTATGGAGGCCTGGATAACAAATGAAAAATCCTGACCTCAGGAGTGTTCTCTGAGGACATTTCTGGCTCATGCTTTTAATATAAAGCAGTGTTCTGGGACTTTGTACATTAGATATTAAAACCAGGGCTTTGGAAGGCAGCCCAAAGAAAAGGAAGTCAGTTTATTTGCCTGCATAAAATTTTTGGTTGCATGTTAACACTAACCACTGTATCTCATGCAAAGAATGACAAAATCTGCTTTCAATGGAAAATTTTATGTGCTGGAACAGGGAATCCCATCCAAAAATCTCAAATTAAAACAACTAATCAATGTAATGATAACCATAAGCCCTCTATGTTAAAGGGATTTTTACTTTCAGTCTTTCAGCAATCAGTATTTCAGGGTAAAAAGGCAGCAGTAGGTGGATATTACAGCCTGTGCTCATTAGCCTGTACTCCTTGAGTGGTGTTGAGTTTTATTATTCAAATTATTCATCTTCTGTCTGTTTTGGAGGTTTGGAGACACCTGTAGAGATGTAGAACTCAGAGTCAGTGGATTCCTGTCTCCTGAAGGCTGTAGGATCATGACTTTGGGTTGGTTTCTTGTGGTTATCCCATGGAATCCCAGCCTGCTTTGGGTGGGAAGGGCCTTAAAGCTCATCCCATCCCAGGGTGCTCCAAGCCCTGTCCAACCTGGAGCACTTCCTGAGGTATTCCCAAATCCTGGGTGCTGCAGTGCTGGAAACCCTTCCCTATGAATGGGAGGACTGGGATTTTCAGAGTTGTTTTTAGCAGCAATTAATTTGCCTAATTAAAAAAAAAAAAATATATATATAAATATGGCACCCTGAAACTCACTCAGCTGTGCCCTGACTTTGGTTCCCCTGCCTCTGAGGAATTTTGAGGATGACTGAGCACAGTAAGAGGTTTCCACCACTCCTGGAGACATCAAAATCCACCTGGGTGCAGCCCAAAGCCACCAGCTCTTGTTGCCCATATTTTGAGGAAGGACATTGTGTTAGATCATCTCCAGAGGCCACTTCCATCCTCATTTATTTGGGATTTTAAATTTTCTTAATGAATTACTGCACACACAGTTAATAATTCTGAATTATTTGCATCACAGCAGGATTGTTGTTCAAACTCACTCCTCTTGCACTTGTTGGAAATGCCAAAGCTTTGAGGCTTTTCCTGCTTGTTGGGATTAACAGTTCCTGGAGCACGTGGCTTTGATTGGAGCGTGGTGAAAAGTGACAACAGATTTCCTCCCTGCTCTCTTCATCACGTGGCAAAATTAACTCTGGAAATGATAGCAAAGCAGGAGGCTGAGCCCACAGACCCTCCAAGGCTTTGGAATTTGGTGTTCAAGAGGGATCAATCTGCAGGGAAAATCATGTCTGGGGAGCCTGGTGGGAAAACACAAATGGATTTTCTCTGTCCTTCACCCCCCAGAGATGTTAATTAAGATTTTTCTACACTTAACTGATGGTTAAATTCAGGCAGAAGTTGCTTTTCCTGATTTTCCCTGGCTGTTTGCTTGAATCCATTGCTTTTTTTTTTGGAAAGGAGGTGTTGATTGCTGTGGTTGGCTCTGTTCTTGGAACCAACATCTCAGTACCTAAAGGGTGTTTTCCCCATGATTTTTCCCAAGCAGAGACATCCATATGGCTGCCACGATAATTTCACTGGATGTTCCTTTTGGAAATGTTGGAGTCTGTGCAGGGAATGCTGTAGGAAATGAGGGGTTTGGGAGGAGGATTAATTGAGAAGTGCCTTCTTTCTTTCTTTTCATTTCTCTTCAGATTGTTCAGGCTGTTATCACAATTTTCCATGTTGGAATTTTTAATTAGTTCCCTGACTTTGGGATTTCTCTGTAGATTCAGGCCTTTGCTGAGGTGTCACATTAAAAACTGGATGTGCAGACAAATCTTCAAAGCTGTTCCACACAACTGGGGCTGAGGCAGGGGGAGGTGATGGTTTACAGCTTTATTTCCACTGTTCTGGAATGGTTTTATCCTGCTTTTTTTGGGTTTGGGGATGGTTAATCCATCCATTACCCTTCCCTTGCTGGGACTACAACGAGGGGATTCAGGCTTGGTCTGTAAGGGGAGATGTGAGGGTGGAGCTCTGGGCACCAGGGAAACAATTTTTAATTCCAGAATTCCTAAGTGTGAATCCCTCCTGCTGTGGAATCTGTGCCTTCTCCCAGGGAACAAGGGGCAGGATGAGAGGAGATGTCCTTAAAGTTGCACCAGGAGAAGTTTAGGTTGGAACCAAGAAGAATTTCTTTTGTGGAAAGTGTTGTCCAGCATTGGAATAGTTTGTCCATGGCAGTGGTGGAGTCTCCATCCCTGGAAGTGTCCAAAAATCCCATGGATGTGGCACTCAGGGACGTGGTCGGTGGTGACCCTGGTGGTGGTGTTGGACCTGATGATCTTAAAGGGCTTTTCCACCCTTAACAATTCCATGATTCCATAAAAATGAAAATCCTCAACAGATAAATAGGAACAGATAAGAAAGCACCAAAGATTCTGCCTTAAAAAGTGATTTTAGCTGAGAATTGAACCCACACATCCTTGAAGGTTCTTTGGGAATGCACTGCAGGGTTCATGTCCCAGTTGTCCCTTGGGAACTCATGGAAAATTCTGGAATTCAGCTGTGGCTCCTCCTTTCAGGGGTTCTCCAAGAATCCCAACTGGAAACATGAGGCTCGACGGTTTCCAGGGATTTCTCACTGCTGACAGCTCCTCTCCCCAGGCTGGGTGTGCTCCACATGGTTGTGTTTGTTTGGAGTGGGGAATGTTTAAAAAGTGGATAAATATTCCCTTTGTCTGCCCTGAGATGAAGAGGGGAAAAACAGGACTCATAAAGGATGTTTTGTTTTCAGATATGGATGAATCCTCTCTTTTCTTTCACAAAAAAATCCAACAAAATAGAGAAAAAAACCCTCAATTTTGGTTGTTACAGTGAAGCCAAATTTAAATCTATTTATAGGTGACCATAGGAGAGGTCTATCCAGGCTGTGGCTCCACATGCACCTTCAAAAACACAATAATTTCTGTCCTCTGAAGCCAAAAATGGCTTAAAAATCAAGACTTTTGGGCCTTATAGTTAAAAATGCATTTCATTATGTGAATATCATAAATATATAAAAATACATATTTCTCTGCTGCAGGTTTTATTTCTTTGATAATCTTTTATCACATAACTTAATCAGAAAATAAATATTATAAATGATGGATTCTGTATTTGGACACTGTGGTTTGGTTGAGGTTGAGTCGTAACTAGCTCAGTTGAATTCCATAGGGAAAAACTGGGAAACACAAAGGAAAGACCAAGCCCTGAGGGAAATCATCCCTCAGAATCCTGAGGGAATTTGTCCCACAAAATCCTGAGGGAATTTATTCCTCAAAAATCCTGAGGGAATTTGTCCCACAAAATCCTGGGGGAATTTGTTCCGCAAAATCCTGAGGTAATTTGTTCCGCAAAATCCTGAGGGAATTTGTCCCACAAAATCCTGAGGGAATTTGTTCCTCAAAATCCTGAGGGAATTTGTCCCTCAAAATCCTGAGGGAATTTATTCCTCAAAAATCCTGAGGGAATTTGTCCCACAAAATCCTGAGGGAATTTGTCCCTCCAAATCCTGAGGGAATTTGTTCCGCAAAATCCTGAGGGAATTTGTTCCGCAAAATCCTGAGGGAATTTGTTCTGCAAAATCCTGAGGGAATTTGTCCCTCAGAATCCTGAGGGAATTTGTCCCTCAAAATCCTGAGGGAATTTGTCCCACAAAATCCTGAGGGAATTTGTCCCTCAGAATCCTGAGGGAATTTGTTCTGCAAAATTCTGAGGGAATTTGTCCCACAAAATCCTGAGGGAATTTATTCCCCAAAATCCTGAGGGAATTTGTTCTCAAAATCCTGAGGGAATTTGTTCCTCAAAATCCTGAGGGAATTTGTTCTCAAAATCCTGAGGGAATTTGTCCCGCAAAATCCTGAGGGAATTTGTTCTACAAAATCCTGAGGGAATTTGTCCCGCAAAATCCTGAGGGAATTTATTCCTCGAAATCCTGAGCTGGGAGCCCTGAAGGAGCGGGTGCTCAGTCATCCCAAAATAATGCTATTTCTAAATTAAAACAAAAAAAATAGAGAAGTGAATTGCATCAAATATTAGAAATTAATGGAAATGAATGAAAAATTGAAAGACAGAGGCTCAGGTAAGGATTTTTCCAGATATCCATTTCTTCCAGTGCCCATGACAAAGCCAATGGTATCCCAGTTGAAAAGATCCCATTTTTATTTGGTTGATAAATGCCATTTATCATTTATTTGGTTAAAAAATGCCATTTTTATTTGGTTGATGGGGCAGTTCTTTTACAAAGTTAAGCACTTTTCATGTAGTTGGGATTCCTCAATCCCACCAGGAATTCCACTCTACAGCAGTTCAGGAAAAGCTGGAATTGCACAGGGAGCACCAAGGCTGCATGTAAGGAATTCTAAAAGCTCTGCAGTCTCTTGCTGAGATGTGAGGGATTAAAGGTGTGCCCAACAGGCAGAAAAAAATCGTTTTGTTGTGTTTCCCTGGGTTTCTGTGGAAATTTGTGGCTGGAATTCTGTGTTCCAGCTCGTTAACAGAATCAGAGCTGCCTGATTCTGTTAACGAGCCAACCCAACTTTTCAACAAATAAATAAATATTAACTTGGTGGTTTGGAGTTCCCAGTTCCCATGCTCAGACCTAAACCTCAAAATTATCTTTGTGCCCAAACATTTGCAGACAGGAGGGGAAAAAAAAAACCTTAAATGGCTGATTTTATTAAAGAACATTCCCATTAAAATATTTGAGTGGATAAAGCTCATTCCTGCAGAACTAACAGTGTGTTTGCAAAATAAATCTTGGAATATTTAGTGGAGATATTAAAAATTAATGGTTCTGTCATTTTTACTTGCCTTTTGCCTCTTCTGTTTAGAAGAATCCTTTCCCTGCAGCTGGAAAACCTCAAAATGGATCTATGATGTGTCCATTACAAGTTTTTACCCTCTGGAAATCCCACTGAGGTTTTCCTGGTGGTTTTTGTCCCTGTTACATGAAGATAACTCCCATTTTTTATGTTTAACATTCCCTTTTCAGGGGCATTTCCACTCTGCAGTGTGAGTTGTGTTTAAATTTAATAAATCAAGAACTCCACCTGTCATTTTGAGGTTCAAAAATACAATTCCAGACCTCACGTGTGTCAGTATGAATTGTAGGGGATGGATTTTGGAAAACAATTGTGAGATTCCCTTTATTTAAGATGATACATTATAAATAATTTATAATTATTTAGAATAATGATTATTAATAGTATAATTAAATATTAATTATTAAATATAATTAATAATTAAGAATGTTAACTATTAACTATTATTATAATATTATATTGTTAACTATTAACTATATTATAATAATATTGATATTATTATTACAATATTAACTATTATTATAATAATTTAATATAATACTTAAAGATAAAATATTATTATTTCTATTATAATTATAAATAATTATAATATTAAGTTCATTTGTCACAATAATTTCATTTCTCACAATAGGCAGGATGAGTTTTTAAAGGTGTCCTTGGGGTGGTGGTGGCAGAAATTGTTCTCAGGTGAACAAAAACCATTGAATTCCTCAGGAAACCTCTGGGGTTTTGTTCTGATGGGACTTTTTGAGCTGCAAATCTGGGATTTAGATCCCAAAAGGTGCTTTTTTTTTCAGCAGGAGCTCTGCCAGCCTGTGGAGTTCTGTGGGCTTTGCAGCAAGAACCCACCGTGCCCAGGAATGTTGAATGATCTGTGCCCAGGGACTGGGTTTGATTGCCGTGGGGTTTTAGGAACAGTCTGGGGGATGCACCCAGAATAAAGCTGGAATTTGCTCTGGTTTCTTGCAGAGGGATCCCAGAACTCGGTGTCAGCCTCCAGTGAGATGCAGCAGAACCAGCCCCAGGCCCTGCACTACGCCCTGGCCAACGCTCAGCAGGTCCAGATCCACCAGATTGGAGAGGATGGACAAGTCCAAGTAGTATGTCCTCACCTTTTCCTAAACCCCTCCTCCCAAACCCGCCAGAACCCTGCTCCAGCTGCACTGTCACCTTGCAGTGTGATATCACAACCTGCCAGCACTTGAGGTGTCCAGAAAACAAACACTGGAGGCTTATGGGAAAAAAAAAAATTAGAGTTATGTGACAAAAAAATTCCATGCAGGATTTCCTCACACAATCAATGGAAATCAATGCACTTTGGTTGTTATACAGAGAATTACCAGCCTTTTCCTGGCTGTGTTTACTTAGTGATTTATACTTCAGAGGTAGTTCTGGTGTGATTTCCACAACAAAATCACATTTATTTATTTGTTTTTCTGTAAAACTGCATTCTCAGGCACTTTTGAACATCTGGGAGCTGAATCTTTCCCATGTGTGTTTGTGGAGCTCTCTGTCTATCAGTGAAAGTTCTAAATATTGACATTTTTTAAGCCTAACACTCCCACCACCACTTAGGCCTGATGGTTTTTATCTGTGGTTTTAGTGTACTCTGAAAAAAAACCACCTTCACTTTAATTCTTGTGTCCCACTGGGCACTACAAGGATTGTTTGAAATTCAAATTCTTTTAAAGAAGTGTCCTCAGTGAAAGAATTCTCTTTGTGCAGGAGCTGGGTGGAAATCTTCCTTTTCCGCTTCACTTTTGCCATAACTTTTCAATATTATCCTGGGAATTTCTTTGTCTTTTGAATCCTGTGAATATTTTAAAAGTGGATTTTCCTATGGATCTGTGGGTGAGATTTAACTGGTGACTGAAAAGTACTTTTCAAGTCTTGAAAGACAAGATAGAAAGGAAAATGACATAAAATAAATGACTTTAATAGAACTGATGGTTTGTTTATAGATGGAAGTGATAAAAACTTGCCTCATTAAAAGACCTGGACATATTAATTATCCTTCAAATTGTAGAATCCAGGGAAAAACCTGCTATAAATGGATCTTCTAAACATTCCATCTTTTTTCCTGGGAGCACTGAGTTTGATGTGAAGGAGGGAAGGTGATTTTAATCTCCCCCTGGGCTGGGCAGTGCTATAATTTTCTCTCCAGCCCCTATTGTCAGAGGGACACTTTCAGTGTGGTTTTTCTCCCTATAAATAGGCAGTTTCCTTCCAAAGGAAATGAAACTGTTGGAAATAGAGGGATCTGTGTGTCTTTGAAAATCACAGGCAATTGTTCTTGTGTTATAAAATCAGAGGGGCCTTTGACAGAATTCCAAATGATTATCTTTCATCTCATGCAGGCATATTAAAATGAACACAAAGCTTTATAAAACCTCCAGGAGGTTATTTAGAATCCAATCTCCCCTCAGGTAAATCACAGTGGCTGTGGGCAGGATGCACAAGGAATTCCAGCCACTCTTCTCCTTGCTGGCAGCAAAGGGGACCAGGAGAGTGATGGGAATGGGCAGCAATACCAAATATTACAGGATTCAAACCATCAGGACAGATTCTCACCAATAGAAATCAGGGGAATTGTTCAAATTAATGATTTCCTGCCAGATCCCAGCAGCTGAGAGTCCTTAGTGTGGTCTGTGCTCCAGTGAATGAGCAAAAATAGGTGGAAAATGAGATACCTCTGGAAACCTCACTCTTGGAGATATTTACTGTTGGTTATTATCTGTTCTAAAACTGTGTTGCTTATTATCTCTTCTAAAACTGAGTTTTCCAGATATTTAAATAGAATTAAAGTTTCAGTCAACAAAGCAAGTCAACCCCAAGCTTTGTGTACCAGTCAAAAAGGCAATAGAAGAATATACTTGTTAGAAGATGATGACGATGATGATTATTATTATTATTCCTCCTATTTTCCTTCCCCTGTAGTGGAAGTGAAGCAGTCTTTGGTCCAAGTCCCTCTGCTTTTACTCCCATCCAAAGCTGGGGCAGTCCAGGTGCACTTTGCATTTTAGGAGCTCCTCAATGGTTTCGTTGCACGTTTTGCTTCTCTCCATGAAACTCTGCTGCCTCCGAGGCAGGAGCTGCTTCCTGGAGCTGTGATTTTCCTCTGATGCTCCTTGGTGTTTTCTTTTGTTGTGGATCCCACAGGGCCATCTCCACATAGCCCAGGTGCCCCAGGGAGAGCAGGTGCAGATCACGCAGGACAGCGAGGTGAGCAAAGCCTGGGGCTCTCAGGAACCCTGGCAGCTGAGGGGAAATGAGGCAATGGGCTGGAACCAGCAGAAAATGTTCTTTAGAACCTGCTGCTTCTGTCTCTGGGGTCTTGGGGTTTCTTTTTCAGTAGTATTATTATTGATATTTATTTTATTTTGATTATTTTATTTTTCCCTCCCTCTAGAGCCAAAACAACTCAGTGTGTGTTAATTGTTTATTATTATTATTGTTGTTATTATTATTGTTGTTGTTATTGTTGTTATTATTATTATTTCTATTTTTTTTATTTTGATTTTTTCCCTCCCTCTAGAGCCAAAACAGCTCAGTGTGTGTTCATTGGCTTTTGTCATTATTATTATTTCTATTTATTTTATTTTTATTATTTTGATTTATTTTTCCCTCCCTCACCAGCCAAAACAGCTCAGTGTGTATTGTTTTTTTTCATTATTATTATTATTTTCTATTCTATTCTAATTTTATTTTTATTTTATTTTATTTTATTTTGACTTATTTTTCTCTCCCTCACCAGCCAAAACAACTCAGTGTGTGTGTTAATTGTTGCATAAGGCTGATAAGCTTTGGAAATTTAGTACTGATGGAGTTTAATAGAAAACCAGGTGCTTGCACTGCTTAAAAATGAAATTATTCTGTTTAGGTTGATGAACTAAACATGGTCAGAACACTCAGGGCCTTTAATAGTTGAACAGGAATTGCAGAAACCTTCAGCCGCCATCTAATAAAGAAATATTCCAGAATGAATTTACCGTTAATTCCTGAACAGTTTATCTGGCACTGCAGCATTTGCACTGCTTAATTTTTTTTCCAGAAAAATAATTCAGTGGAATGGGATGGATAACTGGATATGGATAACTGGAAATGGATAAATTCAATCCTAAACCCTCCAATTTTGGCTCAGCTTCCAAATCCAGGTGGATTTCTCTGTGTATTTGCTGCAGTTATTGGTTATTTAAAAATCTTCTGATTGCTAAAACTGCTCTTGGATTGCTGCTGCACTTTGTTTAAATGCAGAAAGAATAGAAAAATCAGGTTAAACATTAATACAGGCAACAATTTGAATCTGTCCCATTTCCCTGTCAAGGTTTTTCCCTCGCTGGGAAGTGGATCTGCCTGGCTTGGTTTAATCCCTGTCCAAAGAACCCAAATCACAGCTCATAAAACCACTTTGTGAAGGAATATTGTTAACACAGGCAGCTACTGGAGAATAAATATTATCATAAAAATTCTATAAATATTATAGTTAAAGGCTTGTCCTTTGAAGGGCCTGTCAGGCCTTGAGAGAGAGAAGAAAGGATTAAAATATCCTGGCTCTGATGTGTGGTGCTGCCATAAAACTGAAGCAGTTTTTGGGTAAAGAACCATTAAAAAACTGATGATTCAGCAGAGATTGCTGGAATGGATCCTGAGGTTCCAGCACACCCTGGATCCTTTGGCTCTTCTTATCTGTGGGACTTTCAAAGGCTGCATTTGTCCCTGACAGATGAAAACATCTGGTTTTAAATTGATGACAATGTACACAAGTGTGAGAGGAGCTGCCAGCAGGAGAAACTGCACAAAAATGGGGATTTTGTCCTCTGAAATGTGCTGTTTCACTGCAAGGCTCTTTTGGGAAGCTGCCTCTCTTTAATCCAAGTGTACTTTTGGAAAGACATCTGTGAGCATGTGAATAAAAACTTCATGTCGTAAAGATTTCCTGATTGGTCTTTGGAGCTTAAAATACTTTGATTTATTGGGATTTTTTTTTTTTTTAATAGATGTAATCCCTGTAATAGAACTGTGTTGGTTTTCAGTATGGAATGTGGATAAATAAAAAGCAAATAGTAAATAGCTCTGCAACCCTGTAAAAGTGTTAGATTGCTAGTTCTGGGATAGTAAGGACTGGATTTCAATCTGCAAGTTTATATAAAGGAGGAAAACCAAAAGTTTTACCTCAGAAAAATTTTGCGTAAAACCAGATTATCTTTGAATTTATAATTAAAAAATGATGAATTTTGGAAGTTACTGAACTTCAAAAACAAAACATTCTGCGTGGGAAAATTCCTTGCTTTTGAAGCTGAGTGGAGCTGGATTGCCTGAAGAACCTTCAGCAGAACTTCCTAAATTCATGGATTTCCTTTGTATTGAAACAGTTTTTTTGGGTTTTTTTTACAGTTTTTGCAATGCCAAACTTGTGCTGATTGTCCTTTCTCTCCTTTTCCAGGGAAACCTGCAGATCCACCAAGTGCACGTGGGTCAGGACGGGCAGGTAGGAGCAAGACTGGGGTTAAGCAGCATTTTCCTTTGATGGAGATTGGGATAAATCCCCATTTTTAGTGCCTGTTTTAAAGAGCCAAAACTGCTCTGGTGATAGAAAAAACTTGCAAAGGGATAAAACCCGATGGAAATATTTCATATTTGGCCCAGCTTGGTTCAGCATTCCTGCAGGGATGTTTTCTCCCTCTGTTTTTTCCCTCCTTTGGCCTCTCCCCTGCCCAGGGTGTTGTTGTCTGCTCTCCTCCAGTCCCCAAGAACCCAACATTTATCCAAGCAGTTACTTTTTTTTTTCCATTTTATCCTTTTCCATGGCATGGCTGTCCTGAGGGAAGCAGATCTGCTCTTGTTCTTGTTGAGGAGCAGATTTTATGAGGTGCTTCTGCAAATTCCAGGTGAGGAAAAGCAGCTTTTCCTTGGCTGAGGAGTCAGTGACCATGGAACTGAGCTCAGGATTCCCAGAACTGCTCACATTTGATCTCAGACACACTTGAAATGTTAAATTCTGCTAAAACAGAGCACAAAAACCCTCCTGCAAGGAGCTTCCAGGCCACAGGAATCAGAGTGTGATTATTATTATGTTTGCTGTTGTTATATCTGTTTTAAAACTGAGTTTTCCAGATATTTAAATGGAATTAAAGTTTCAGTCAACAAAGCAAGTCAGGTTCACTAGGAATTTTGGTTCCTGGTGATTCTGAATAAACTGGGAGACATTTGGGATCCTGCCTGGGATAGAGGCTCTGCCATAAGCAGGGTTTCCATTGCTGGCAAATTTTAAAATTATGGTTATTTTTTAGTGAATTTTTTTAGTTATGGTTATTTTTTAGTGGATTTTTCGTTACGGTTATTTTTTAGTGGATTAAAAAAAAAAAGGAGCAAGCAAATACTTAAGGGATTTTTAGCTCTGTTCTGCAATAATTACTGAATCAGAGTGTGAGGTATTGTTTGGTTTCTGGTGAATCTGAATAAACTGGGAGACATTTGGGATCCTGCCTGGGATGGAGGCTCTGCCATCAGCAGGGTTTGGAGCTCCCAGCACTCTCAACTTGGCAGTATTTGCATTTCAACAAGAAAATAAACCCCTGGAAATGTTCTTTGCTTAGGGCTACTTCAGAGGTGCTTTTACAGAAGTGAATCTTGGAAAGGTGATTTTTTTGAGATGTTATTTTGGTATTTATTGGGTTTTTTTCCTTCTCTGTGAAATGTTGCTGTCCAAATGACACCGTAACACTGGGTGGTTTTATGTCTCTCTGAGTGTGGCACGTAGATTAAATTGAATTTATTTGTAATTAAAACCTCACAACATTATTTTCCCCTTGCATTTTCTATTCCTGTGGAAATTTGTGTGTCCACATTGGTGCATGGCCAGGGCTGTGTCACAGATGTGAGCTAAGGAGGAAAACCATGATTAATTATCTTTTTTGGGATTTCAGTGATGTTATCTATCTATCTGTACTATCACTCAGATTTGGGATAATCTCTCTCCTGCCTCAGTGGTTGTTGGGTGTGCACATATGGATGGGAAATCAGTTTGACATCCAGTTTTTAGGGAATTTTATTTAACTATCTGTGCTCTGCTTTTAAACTTTGGTTAAAACAAAGGGTGAAGTGCTGGGATTTTGTTTTTTCCTCACTCACTCAGCTGCATTTTGGTGTGAAGGAACTTCAGTGCCTTGAGCATCACCAGGAACATTCCCAGGAACCCTCAGCTTCTCCAGAAGCATTTGCTGGGTATTTTTGAGTGGATTAAAAACCAGGAGCAAGCAGGTATTTAGGGGATTTTCAGCATTAATTACTGCAATCTTCCACAGCAGCTGAAGCACTGGAGGGGGGTGAGCAGAGCTCTGGGGCTGCTGTGTGGGAGCTGTGTGCCCCCAAAATTGCTCAGGAGAAGGAGTTAAACCAGCTCAGCTAAACCCTGCTGGTGGTTTAAGTCTGGGAGCTAGAACTGATCCCTTTTCCTTGGGATGAGAGCAGGGAATGTGTCCTGGGATGAGGGCAGGGAAACACAGCACAAAGCAGCAGCTTCCAGTCAGCTGCTCCAAGAAACTCCTGGAATTTTTCCACCTGTCCATTATTTTCCAGGTCTTTTCCTGGATTTTTTGAAGGCTAATATGGATGCTCAGGAATATGGATAATCAGGAATAAAGTGGGGCTTCTGTGACTGTTTTCAGCTGAATAATAAATATATCCTCACTAAAGGATATATTTATTGAATATGAATTTATGAACCTGAGCCTGGCTGTGATTATTTCCCAGAGAAAATTCCTGTTTTCCATGATTTTCTGGGCACAGAGCAGCTGCTGGGGGTTCCCCTGTGCAGGTGAGGTTTCTCCATCCCAATTCCAAGTGAAATGTTCACAGAGCAGGAACCTGGGAAGTTCCTTGGAGCTGAGGCAGAAAACAGCACAAAGCTTGATGAGATGTTAGCAGGGAAATCTCCCAGGTGTTCAGGTACCAAACTTTGGCTTTTCTGCAGGATTTTCCTGATTGGAACTTCTCCTCCCTCTTGCCTTCTGTGTCCTGGTGGTTGCTCTGAGCTCAGATTTTGTTTTTCTGGCATCCCTGTGCATGGAATGGATGAAATCATTCCAGAGGAGCTCTGTCTACCTCCACATGTGTTCTATTAGCTGCAAGTTTCAGATTTCAGTGCACGTTTAATAAAAACCCCAAACTGCAAAAATAATTAAAGCTTCACATTAGCTGAGCCTTGAAACCTCAGAAAAATGGGAATTTCTTTCTTTGCTCTATGCATTTTATTCTTAGGAATTACCAGAAATTTTAATTTATTTCTCCTCTGATTACCTGCCCTGCTTCTTCCTCACCTCCATTCTTTTTTTCCTTGGAGTTTTGATCACCCCAGGAAATGTTCATTGTGTCCTGTACTTCAGGAATACACCTGGGATATAAAAAAACAGGACAATTCCAGGAGTTTCCCACTCTTTAATTCTGTTTTTTAGCCATTCCATGTTCTACACCCTCACTGCCAGTGTTTCTCCAGTTTAGGGATTAATTAAATGGCACCATAGAAATGGTATTTAATTATTGTCTGGTTCTTAAATGGAAAAGTTGATGTCCTTTAAAATCTAAAATGGGATTTTGTGTGTTCAAGGAGAGCCAACGATTTGTTCTGCTGCAGGAATGAAAAACTGGGGACAATTGCAGCATTTAATTCACTGTGGGGGAATGGGAAAAAGCAGGAAAATCCAGGATGGGTCTGGTAGGAAAAAGCCAGCGAGTGCAAAAGGCTTTAGTAGGAGATAAATCTGTAGGATTGCTTCTGCCACGTTGTTTTGCCAAAAAGAAAAGTTGGGATTTTCTGAGTTGTGGCCACAGGTGTGTCCCAGGTGAGCCTGGAATGAAAGGGATGCTCTGGGATGGGCAGGGATCCCATTCATCACTTCTGCTGTTTGAGGAGCCTTTTGGATGGAGCAGGAATTGCATTTTCTTTTCCTGAACTTTGCCCCTGATGACTTTAGTAATACACTATTATCCAAAATGAAATATGTTATCATAAAACTCCATATATAACCCCAAACTGAGTATATTATCCCAAAAATCAATATTATTGACTTTTTAAATTCAAAGTTTTCCACTCCCAGACCTGTTTATTCCCATGTTTTTATTCCAGTCTGGAGCAGGTATCCATAGGCACTCCCTTGATGTAATGTAAACCTCTCAAAATTGAACTTTATTTCATTTACCAGGATGGATAAATATCTCAGAGAATTCTTTTCCAGATATTAAAGTATTATTAAAATATGCCTATTTAAATTATCCAAAAAATAAGACAAGAACCTTCTAATGCAATTTTTAACTTGCGCAAATTTAATTTGCACAAATGACATACAAATTTGATTTGTATATAATTAATTTAATTGGAATATTCTAGATTTAAATACACTGCAATGCTTCATTTGAGTTGCTCAGTCACAAATTAATCCAAGGGAGGAATTTTTTCCCCATCCCTAATCCAGGAGCAGCAGAGGGCAGTAGCATTAAGATGATGCTCAGTTGTTTTCTGAAGGAATGGGAGGGAATTTGAAGAGAGAGGAATGAGCTGCTGGGATAATTTCTGTGGAATTCCAAAAGGTTTTCCCAATTCCATCACAGCTCCTGGAATAACACACACAGAGAAATGGTTGTTACAAGAAAAAAAATTCAATTAAAACCTCAGTGCAGCTCAGCTGGAGCTTAAAAACTCCTTGATTGGTCTGCAAAAAAATAATTATTGTTTTTAACTGATAGTTGTTCAGGAATTGTAGTAAATTCTTCTAAATTTGCTCCTGGTTTTAGGAGCAAAAAGGAAAAGAATAGTTTGGAAACAATTGTGCTTTGTGCAAACTCCCTGTGACATCCCAGAGTATTTATGGATAAATAAAAGTGTTTAAGTATTTAATTATACTTAAATAGAAGCATTTTACAGGCAGATTTTTGGGTTTGCTTTGAGGATTTTTGTGCACAAACTTTTTAATTTGGTGTTCATGGAGCTGGTCCCACTTTGTCCCTCAGAGTAATTAATCCAAAGCACAAAACTCACCGTATTTAGTTCTGAAAATTTAATTTCTAGGCAAAGTAGTATTTTAGCAAATGAAAATGGAGACGTTTTCTTTTAAAGCAGTCCTAAAACTTAGGATTGAGGGAAAATTCTCTGATTTGGTGATCAATATTATCCAAAATATCTCCAGGAAAATTGATGTTGTAAGGAAAACAGGAATACTTCTGTTAAATAATAATATTTCTGTTAAATAATAATTTCTGACTTAAAAATGAAGTATAATAAAATATTTATATACATACATACATACATATATATATGCATGTAACACAGATTTCTGCATGATTAATTTGTAGTTTCACTGCAGAATTTAGGATGGGTTTGGAGAAAGTTTGCATTTAATTTGGAAGCTTAAAACAGGATGAAACAGTGCCCAGGAGGATAAAAACTGAGCTCCAAAACTGAAACAAATTAGTCCCATTTTAAAACCTATTATT